CAGCTGTTCAGTGTTTCTCATAAAAGACTAGGCTAACGCTTAAGCTAACAATTTTAATTAAAACTGGCTATTTTATATTTTCCAAACATGTTAACCATCACCCTGCCATTCATTAACCAGCACAACACATGATACATTGCAATACAACACATTCTGAAGGAGGGCACCAGTATGGAGAAGACTGGCATGGAGTGACTGGCTAGACTTGCTCCCTCTAGTGTTTTCTCCCTAAAATCCCACAACTTCTTAAAAGGTTAGCATGCTACACCTATCTTGCCGGATATGGAGTTTCATATCTGATATCTAGCATCAGGCATATTTTTGAGAGGTCACGATGATCTTTGGGACACTAGGAACATGTGTGAGAAGTCTTGCTAGCCTGAGGACATGTGGGAGACCTATATAGTACTAAAATAAAAGTGAAATGGGTTTGATGTTTTCTGCATCACTCCCTAGGCTTTCTGCATTTCCTCTTACAATGGAGACAAAGGGAGTCACATCACAAAAGCAGTTAAAGACCATCTTCTACTTCACCACAGGCTGTGTTCCTAGTCATCCTTCCTGTTCAACTATCTCAGGCTTGTCTCAGATCCAATCACTGTTCTGTCACATCAGCCTATTCAGACCTTTTTGTCAATTCCATTGGAAACCCATCGTCTTTGTTACACCATGTGGCAGGATCAAGTAGCCCTTGAAGCTATGAAATATGATATAAATATCAGCCCCATCTCTAGCCTCATGTGTGCACAGAGGGTCCCTCTCAATTTCTGTGTTGCCCTCTGATGCTATCTGAGCCATGCTCCATTTTCCATGCACCTATCTTCAGAAATTGTAATTACCACCCTGTCTAAGTCCTGATTTCTCACTATCCAACCTTCCACAGCAGGGGTAGGCAACCTAAAGCCCAGGGGCCAGATGTGGCCCCCCAAGGCCTTTGGACCAGCCCCAGGCCAGTCCTGCTGCCGCCCCCACCACCGCCCCCTGCCGCCCGCCATGATGATATTGATTATTGTTGTTATTACTTGTTCTTGGGGTTTTCTTGGCAAAATCTCCACAGGGGTTTTGCCATTGGCTTTTCTGGAGCTGAGAGAGTGTGCATGCATATTTTTTAAATTTTTTAATTAAAAATATTTTATTTTTATTTATTTCTTTGTTTGTTTTTGGTGCTTTGCCCCCCCCCCCCCCCCGCAATTGTCTGAGGGACAGCAACCTGGCCCCTGGCTCAAAAAGGTTGCCTACCCCTGTTCCACACCTTCCTTTCTATTAGCCATGTATGGTTCTTAAGGTTTCAGTGGTTTTGTGTGTTTGGTTGCACCTTTGTGTGTACCTTTATATTCACTGAAACCAGACTCTGTCTACAATTACTACTGGTATACATAAGTCAAAAGATCCCCGAAGTTACCCTCCTCTTGCAGGTTTTCTTTTGAAGAAATAATCACCCCCAAATACCAAGGAGACCCTGATACTGTTGTTGGGGGCCCCAAGTCCACCTCCTATTTTAGATAACATGGTACACAGATTGCTACAGGTTGAAATTCTAGAATGCCCAGACTACATAGTTACAGTGCTTTGATACCTTGTCATGGCTTCAACTGATGCAAGGTGTCATTTTGTGAGGTACTGTACTTAGAAATTTCTGCCAGAGAGACCCAATGCTGTAGTTCAAGGGAGTGCACTAGAGAATTCTCAGCAATGCACCAGCCGTTCAGTTCTAGGATTCCAGAGGATAGAATTATGGCAGCTAATGTGCTACCAAACTGTTATAATTGTGCAGTTTATCTCAAATTATATACAGTTGTCCCTCCATTTTCACGGACTTCAAGTCCGCATCCCTCACCCATTCACAGATGGAAAACAGAGAGGGGTAAAATGGGACACATGCCTCTATTCAAGCCTATGGGGTTTGAATATTTGCAGTTTTCTGTTTTTGCAGTGAGGGGGGGAGTGGGTAGGTCTGGAATGTATCCCCCATGAAAATGGAAGGGCAATAAGCAAAGAGACTCCACTTCAACATTAGGAGGCACTTCCTGACAGTGAGAGCTGTCTGACAATGGAACATACTCCCTCGGAGTGTGGTGGAGTCCCCTTCTTTGGAGGTCTTTAAACAGAGGCTGGATGGCCATCTGTTGGGGATGCTTTGACTTTGAGTGCCTGCATGGCAGGGGGTTGGACTGGATGGCCCTTGTGGTCTCTTCCAACTCTATGATTCTATGATTTTATGATTCTAACTGTAATGTAATTTTATGATTCTAACTGTAAATAGAATATCTAAGAAAAGCCCACAGTGTCTGAGGTCCAATAACTGAGCATCAGCAGAGCTCCACTGGTGTTCCAAAAGGTGTGGGCTGCTTCATCTCTTCTCCTGAGTGTGTCTGAAGGGAGCAAGAGTTTCTGGGCACTGCTTTGTACCCAAAGTAGCCATTGCCCCTTGTGAAAAGGTGGAAGCTGATATTTCAGTGCCAGGTGTACAGGCACACTGCCACAATCTATCCATGGCTGGTGTGGGATGATGCTATGCCCAACAGCCTCTGACTGACGTTGTGTATCCAGGGTAAAGGCATTTTGCAAGGGGATCAGGATACTTGCTTTCACAATGACCTTAAAAGTAACTGGAAAGTATGCCTGTGAAAGTCAACTACAGATTCTGTGGGTAGTCTGCTAAAAATAAATAAATAAATGGATCCTAGAGCAAAATCAACCCTGAACTCTCCCTAGAAGCCAAGATGACTAAACTAAGACTCTTGTGTTTTATCCATATCATCATGAGAAGACATGACTTACCAGAAAAGAGAATAATGCTTGGTAAGTTAGGATGCAATAGGGAAAATGGAATACCACATTCCATTTTAGTTTATTGTGGCATCAGAGTTTATTGTGGCATCAGAGCTCTCTGACAGAGAAGGCTCAATGTCTCAGGAAAAAATACAGTTCCCATGATTCCCTAGCACTGAGCCATGGCAGTTAAAGTGGACTCAATTTGCACTATTTCTGGCAGTCTGTAAATGCCCTAGATAGGGGGGTTGCAGACTGTCAAAAATAGTGTGAATTCAGTCCACTTTTAGGGTTAGGGTTAGTGCTAGGGAATCATGGGAATTGTTATTTTTCTGAGACATTGAACCTTCTTTGTCAGAGAACTCTAGTACCACAATAAAATTCAGTTCCCATGATTCCCTAACCTTAACCCTAACCCTAAAAGTGGACTGAATTCACACTATTTTTGACAGTCTGCAACCCCCCATAATCTCACAGAGGCAGAATTCTCTAAATGAATTGTATCGTTTATTTAAGGGGAAATCACACAGCAAGCACTTTCACTTACACACATACAAGGACTAAGGAAATCAGGAGTTAGCGCTGAAATAGTTAGAGGCTAAACTAATGGCAATACTTACACAAGACGAGGCTTGGCTCCTGGTTCCAATTGGCTTGTGGGGCATGGGACACGGCCATTCTGGTGAGCAGTGGGGGTATTGGAACTAGTCAGAATTCACAGTGACAGAGTGTCTACATGCATTCTATCTAGCCTGCTAACAATAGGTTTTGGAGATCTTTTATAAGCCAAAACTGACCTCAGGGCAAAGATGTTTGTCCTATATCAAAGGGAACCAAATCTACATGAGGAAGGATCACTTGGTCTGGCAGTTCTCAGGTGAGAACGAAGTTGTACATTAGCCTTATCTGGTTTGTCCAGCAGAGCATCCTGCTTGTAAATCACCTATCTTTCTGTCTGTGAAGTGTGAATGTATCTTCATTTGCAACTCCCAAACAAATCTGTTTGATGTGTTTTTGGGTGCAATGAGTATGTGACTCTCCATCTTTAGGATTATGTGATTCTCAGTCCAGAGTCCATTTGTGGCCATGGAAGAGAATCACACTGCAAAATTTTGAAGATTTCAGTGAGGATAACAGAAATGAGTTGCAAAATTAATTCCTTTTTAAAAAGTGATTCCAAACTCTCATGCTGGCTGGTGAGAATTTTGATTCACTCCCCCTGTGGTCTCCCCAGTCTCTCTTTCTCATATCTTCCATTCTCCTTAGAATTCTTCCTCAGGATCTCCTAAGACAGATCCCAAGGGCCATAGAGTTGTGCTTCTCACATTCTACAGAACCTATATTTCCATAAACTGAAATACTAAAGCAGAACTGTTCTACTGTGGCATATCAAATATTTGTAAGGCTCATGAGCACCCACTAGTGGCTCAGTTCACAGTGTGTGTGAACATAGTAGACCATTATTATTATTATTATTATTATTATTAAACAGTCTTGGGTTCCACTCATGATATACTCCTGGAGAAAGATTACAAAGAAGTGAGCCCTGTTTGCTGAGTTTCTGTCTGGGTAATATTTCTTTTGTTAGTCAAAGTGGTGTGGCTGAGCCAGCATACAAGCTACTCCATTTCCCTTGCCTATTACTCCACTTGTTAGCTATC